CTTAATATCACCTACAAAAATTCCTGACCCAGTTACACGTGTCACGGATAATAATAAATTTCAATCATCATCTTCTCTTTCATCGACCACTAATGCTAAAAATATTATTGTAGGAAACAAATCAAAGTTCAATACTACTTCTACTAAACGACAACAACAACAACAAGAATACAAACACAGAACATTTCATCATGTTTCGTCATCAAAACCTACGAGATCAGTCAAAGCTTCATCATCTACTACTGCAGGTGAGATTCAATATTTCTTAAAATTATAAAATTTTTGAAAAAAATTTTTTAATTAATTATTAATGGTGAAGTTTTTTTTAAAAAAAAAAAAAATCTAAAAGAGCGTAATGTAACTAGCAAACAAAAGATTATCAATAATAGAGTGTTGAATGCTAGTAAGTTTCAAAATCGTAATGACAGCCAAAAAACTACACGTACAGCAGTAGCATCAGCGAATGCTACAACAGCAACAATCAGACCATTAAAACTTAGTGTTAAAAGAAAATCATCAACAGATTTATAAATAATTTTTTGTTATCACAATTACAAATAATTATTTTGGTCGTCTTTATGAAACAATTTTCTTTAATTTTTTTAAAAATGTGTTATTTATTAAATGCAAGGAATATAAAGCTCGATAATAAACATATAATTATGGAAATCAAGGTTATTTATAACAGGAATAAGAATAATTTCCTTCTCTAATCTTTATTCAAATGGATGTTGATTTTATTCAACACAAAAATTTGACAGTGCCCAGATTATTATAATTGAGGCAAAGCCCTAAATTTTAAACCCACAGGGTGCATTTACAAATTAGACCTCTCGTACTAGTTGTTTTGTTTGTTTGATTAAATTTTTTTATTTATTTTATTAAAGATTTATTCGCATAATTTAATAAATATTATAGTTAACCTTAATTGCTACAGAATGATAAATATAAAGTACTCGAAATGACCGAAACAATAATTAAATATCCCTTCCAATGTGAAATGTTTATAATTGAAATCTTGATAGCAGATGATAGCGGTGAAATATTAGGTTTAACTTTTTGACCACTGGAAGCTAACATTACTCCTCCGTTTGCTGTTTCATTCCAACCTGCTGGTGGATCATGTAACTCGATACTAAATGGACCATATGTGCCACCTAAAGGCGGTGTTTGACCAAAAATACCTGATCGTGAAATTGTTTCAACCCTTATAAAGAAATTTGAGTCATTCGTAATTCTTGGATCATTTAAATACGGTGTAATCCTTTTTTAATGAGTGAAGAAGCGTGATGAGTGCGTGAGGACACTGTAATATTTATTTACTTGGACGTAAAAATATATACGCACGTAAAATAAATAATTTCTTACCAATCATAATTGTTTGTTGTGTTTGTAA